CTCTCTTTCTCTCTCTCTCTCCCTCTCTCTCTCTCTCTCTCTCTCTATGCCTGCCACTGTGCTGCATATACAGTTAGTGAAATTGAATGGCACAGAATACGTACATGACTGTATATTTACCCACACGTGGGGCATTCACGGATGCACCCACACACACCATGTATACGCCCGTCGCAAGAGAAGCACCAAATCTGCAAATGCACACACACACACACTTGTACGCTCGATCATACAAGTACACACACACATACTCATACGCTCGATCATACAAGTACAATGTAGATTATGTAGTAGTGAAGAATTCACATCAGAGACGTTAACACGTCTCTCTCTCTCTATGCCTGCCACTGTGCTGCATAATATTATACAGATAGCGAAATTGGTGTGGCACATAACATATACATGACTGTATATTTACCCACGGGCCAAGCGTGGGACATTCACGGATGCACACACACACATACACACACCACACCACACACATGACCTGCAGCAAATAACAGTTCATAGCTACAAGACCTTCAAAGAAAGTCATGGTGTCAAGAAGATAGACACGTACAAGGATAATTGTAAAGTATAAATTATATTATACATGTACATGTAGCAGGGATAGTCTCAGAGAGTCAAACTACCGGATGAAATGGCAAACGAAAGTCTCAACTTTAGAGAGTAGAGTAGAGAGTAGAGTGGGTGGGTGTGCAGACCAGCGAAGGTCATAACACATTGATAATAACGTGTAACCAATGCCGGCAATGGATAATGTGTGAGCGGCCAAAGAGGCGTACATAGCATGTCCTGTACCACCATAAACACACCTTGACCTTGCCCATTGCGTAGCAATGATAGCGCATTGTTATTTCTCCAGTCCACGACAGAATGACTGATGGCGTTTCAGGTCGCCGCTTCGACGGAACATGCGGCCGCAGGCGCAACCGTAGCCAGCAGCAGAGGGTGCCTTGGGTGGTCGACGGGCAATGGCACGCCACTCCGGATGGTTCTGGGCTGCATCGTACCATCCACATGTTGGTACAGGTGGCTCAACCGACGCAAAGTCATGCATAACGACGTCCCTCCACCTCTTGCGTGGATCACGCGCGGGGCGCGGGGCAGGCAGTTCACCGAAGAGAACACACTTCGGCAACCGGTGATCTTCCATCCGTGCCACGTGTCCAAGCCAACGCAAACGCCATTCCCGTGCGATGTGACCAATGTCCTCAGGCACTCCAAGGGTCTTTGCAAGGGCTGAGGACGTTGCGTGGGTCTCCCATTGCTGCCGTCGCGACACTCCAACGATAGATCTGACACATTGATGGTGGAAAGGGTTGAGGTGTCGTAGGTCCGGAGCCTTCGGTGTCCAGGTCTCCGCGCCGTACAGGAGGGTAGAGAGCACCACGGCAACATACACGCGACGACGACACTGCAGACTCAGTGACCGGTTCTCGGATACGGCTTGCTTCAAACTACCATAAACACACACACACACGCGCACACACACACACACACACGCACACACACACACACACACCGATTGATCAATCATGCTGCCGGAATCCCTCATATATCTCATACTGTGGTACATATCCCTGGGAGAATTGCAAGGAACTAAATACGGCAAGCAAATCGAGGGACATTAGGTGCAAGCCTCGTTGTTCTAGTTGTCTAGACTGCACTGGGTTCTTGAAAATACTGAGCCTCCACGTTGTATCTGTGTGGCATGTGGCATCCGTTGATCTCGTTTGAGTAGTAGTAGGCATGCACTGCATTATGTTTTGATGAAAGGTTCGATAGCTGATGAATGGGTTTATCATTTGGCTTCCTGCGTGGGTATTGCTTCTGTGGATTGGTTTGGAGCAATGTTCAGATAGTCCAGGCATCAGGCAAATTTATAATGGCGGTCCAAGCTAGTTGAATATCCGGATCACTTTTTCTCATCTGGTCTACACTCCATCCGCTTGCATCCGTAAGCAATGCAAACGCATTGTCCCTTGCACAGGCACGTGACTCCTGCAGGCAATTTTTGGAGAGCGTAAAGTGGCAGGACGGATATTCCCGTGAAGTTACAACATGATCTGAGTATAATCGTAGGACATCAAGTCTTGACACTACTTATGACATGATCAATTCTGCTATGCTCTAATGCAGACTAGCAACAAGAGGCATTTGTCAGATACTAGTAACCATGAGGTACTGAGACGATTCTCTTTAGCAAACCACCCACTCCGCTATAAATGCTCAAATAATCTGTCATCTGCCTGCTCCAACTTGACTGTCCTCTTGACAAGTGAAAATCGCTGGCGTTGTCTGGGCCATAAATACCATTATTGGCATTAATCCAACGCCTCCCTTGCTCCTCATCTCTGCATCTCGTAACGATAGGTCTGGCACATCGAAATCTAAAACTAAAATACTTGGAGCTCTTATTTGTTCAAGCTATATTTTCAGAGGCAGGAAGTTGCAAATGGCAAGAAACCCAACTTCTCTTCACCATTGGCATCACGAGCTATGATCATTATCAGTGAGCAATGTTACTAGAGGAAAGTCGCTGGAGTGAACAGAAAGCTTTCCAAGCAGCAACGTTTCTTTCTCAGCAAGAACAAATAAAAATGAAAGGAGCAACACCAAGGATTTGTCTATCCCGGTGTAGGTACCCGGGTGTGTGTAGCCTCTGGCAAGGTTCTGTGCCACAGATTTCCAGTGCAACGGCCACGGACAAGTGTCCCACTGAGATGCGGTCGCTCGCCCGGACCGCTCCGACGCGGACACCTGCGAAGAGCAGCCTGTGACGTTTATTTTTTTATGACAGAAAACTGCAAAAAAAGTTGGGCTTGTCCCTTTAGGCTTTAGTCCTACCCATTGCAATTGCATACTAAAGTAGTCCGTACGCATTTCACCTTGTGCACAAGAGCCTCGTAAAATCAAGGTGGGGCGCTCTCGCGAGACGGGGCGCTCTGGCGGTACTTTACGGTAATTATACCGTAAAATCCCGCCAGAGCGCCCCTACCTCCTCGACGCTTCAGGTGGGGAGGGGCGGATGGGCGAGTCTACTCGCCGCATTCTGTACTACATGAAAAAGTACTCACCCTACGAAAACTGTTCGTGCATCTCGTACACCGACCAAAGGTCAAGAGCCACGAGTCGTACAGACCCGTCAAAACTCAGGCTGTGTTTACATGAGAAATTTCAACCCGGGTCGAGTTCAGCCCGGGTTGAAAGTCTGTACGATAGACAAAAGAGGTGAGCGTTTACATGAAGACAGTTGACCTGGGTCAAATACTGATATGCCGCCAAAAGTCCACTTCTCCAGTCCTGTATGGTCACGTGAATCCGTTCGCGCGAAATTTGCATCTGCAGTGCCGTTCAAACCTGGCGCGAGATACGCACAGAAGTACGTTTGTACGATTTTCTTGACCTGGGTTGAAATCAACCCGGGGCGAAATTTCAACCCGGGTCAAGCGCAATGCGTCATGTAAACGCGCCATTCATTTTATGCACATGGCGGGTTGAAAGCTGACCCGGGTCGAACTCAACCCGGGTTGAAACGCCTCATGTAAACACCGCCTCAGGGTTTGTGCGATCCCTGGTCAAGAGGGTGCACCGGTGGGCACTGTTGCGTACATTTCCAACGGGGTCGAGCACGCGTCTGCAGTACAGTACGGCATCATAGACTGCGACAGAGATACGAGAAATCACGTCCCTGACAAGAAGTCAGGGACTGGCGGATATAGGAGAGACGGGGCGCTCTGGCGGGATTTTACGGTACAATGTATTTAGAGGGGGACATCCACGTACATACTAGTACTAGTAGCCATTTTCCCAGGGGAAAAGTGCGACGTAGTACTCTTCCCCGGGGGGTTAATGTACTGCAGATTGCCCCCCCCCGGGACAAATTCTGGGGGGGGGGATAACTCACTGTACAGTGTACTATGGCTACACCGGCAGTGCAGTGGTACATGCGTTATTGGAACCAGGGAGTAGTACAATACCGTATTGTACTACTCCCTGATTGGAACCGCGCGTTCCGATACGCGGATGCGGACTTCACGTCCGCGGCGGCTAAACCGGGCTCCAGTACGGTGTCGGCACTACGTGAAATGAAGGATGAATCAGGCTGTGTTCCCAGGTACTAGGTAGAGTCTACGAGAGTCGCAAGATCTTCGGACGGGATCCCGTAACAGCCGTGCGTGCGGGAGCCCTTCCATAATTCCAGGCCACGCAGTTGGAGCGCAATCTGGACCCGCCGATAATAGTGATTTTAGCTGACAGGATCGCTTTTTCCAAATATAGCCGGTACAACTCGTACGCGGTATATCATTACATCCGGTACCGGTACCGCGGTCACTTTATAAACGATACTCACTGTATACGAGTACTACAGACTACAGTCTACACACTAAACTCGTACATGTGAATGTCACGACTCATTTCCCCTGCTACAATGTAGTATTAAGAATTTAAGGGGTGTGTAGCTAGCAGACACAGCGGTCAGCCACCTACCGCCAGTCGACTGGTCATTTCTGTTTCGTTTTGGTCGAAATTGAAGTACACTTCGGTTGTTCTTGGAAGAAGTGACACAGCGAAGTCGGTGCTCATCTAATTCTCAGCGACGACCTTCCAGGGTGCTGAAGTTAGTTCTCGGTACGAAGAGAGCATTTTCCAATACACCGTGATCGCGAACTAAGCCCAGCCCCGCAGGCGACGGCGACAGGAGGTTTCCCATAGACGCAAGCATTCACCGGGACTATTCGTGTGACTCTGAAACCTGGCTTGCTGGTATCCCACTGAATTACTACAGTCTGTCCTGGTCAGACCAGAAACCGTTGAACAGTTCACATTGATGCTGTGTCAGGTCACTGAAGGCTTATATTATAATAATCTCTTGCTTGGTCTGCGTGACGTGAGCTAGAGGGACTTGGCTTGCCTCCAGACCAAGCCCAGCAGGACAGTCTGTGTTCAGTGAAGTTTCCAGACCCCAGTACCCAGTGCCCTGTTTCGTCTTCAACATGCTGTGTGGTACAGTGCTTGTGTGGGTGGCCGTGTGCGCCGTTCTACCGCATTGCGCGCAGTCCGTGTTTACGCAGTCGCAGAAAGACGCCATGCTGGGCGCGCACAACAACGCCAGGTCTATCGCCTCACCTACGCCCTGTACGCCACTACCAGCCATGACGTGGAACACTGTACTGGCCAACTTGGCACAGGCGTACGCTGACAGGTGTATTTACGAGCACAATGAAGATAGAATATCGGAAGCCAACGGAGCTTTCGGGTATGTGGGTGAAAACCTGTTCATCAGTACGAACACGCCCTCTGACCCTGCCGTCGTCAGTGTGACGTCATGGGATAAAGAGAAACATTACTACGACTACGACACTCTGGCGTGCGCACCTGGCAAGGTCTGCGGTCATTACACCCAGATTGTGTGGAACTCCAGTCAGCAGCTGGGCTGCGGGGCGAAACTGTGCGACGCCGCAAACACCAAAAGCTACCCATTCGACAAGAGTAAATTCTCCAAAGGTTACATTGTGGTGTGTAACTACGGACCGGGTGGCAACTATCGTGGTCAGAAGCCGTACAAGACATGTCCAACAGCTGTCGCTCCATCACTCTCATCCACCGCCCCTCCATCCACAGCCGTGAGCGCAACGAGTACAACAAACTCAACGGGAATCGATTTGTTGGGAGGCAGTGCAGCCGGGTTGCCAGTGCCGCATGCATGCTTCACCCACGCTGTCCTCCTGCTCATCACCATATGCCTAGTCAACTGGAGCATGTGATTGACAGGGTTCGACGTCTTTGTGCTGTTGCAGGCCACCTTGCCCAGCGTGGCAGTACAGTTTCCAGTGCCTTCGAACGTGCTTTCGGCCAAGCCTGTTTTCAAGAATTGTATTTTGAGCCATGCTACTCATTGAGATCCGATCGTGTAAGGCAACTCTGTACCTTGCTCCTGTTCGCATCCCAGTGCTAAGCGCTATATCGCAATCGGATTGCTTTGAGCAGGGCTGTAGTGTGAACACATGCCACGCTATTGTTGTGCATATAAATTCCGTTTGCCTTAATCTCTGTTTTCATGCTTTTTTCCATGTGAGCACCTATGCTACATGTACAAACGCAAATGGTTCGTGATCTTCGACGCATAGCCCGCGTCGTTAAATTTGCTTGCCTACCTTTCGTCAACTGATAGTTTTAAGTAACTTTTAACGAGTTGATTTGTGGTGGAAATGGAATCTACTAGCAATCTGTGCAGTGTTCACACGTACATACACCAAATAGACACATTCCAAGGCCAAAGGGCTGTCCACCTCAGCGCGATGTGTCTTCCTGTACGTGAAATATTAAATGCAGGATGAATCAGGCAGTGTTCCCAGGAAAACTTCACTGTGACCCGGACTGACACTGATACATGTATGCCGACAGTACAGTCGCCCATTTCTCTAGATCGGCATGGTCATTAAAAACATGTTTATCTACTCTTGGCAATACATGTACCAAGAGTACTGAACTCTTGGTACTGTAGTACCGTAAAGTCCGGAGCAAACGCCCACCCCATTTTTGCAAGATCTGCTGGCCTGTACGCGCTGAGACTTGAACTTTTGGCCTGACCCTACGGGTATGTTACGGGACGGACTTAAAAGTTCACTTCACACCGTAGCGAAAAATGACTACTGCACTGCTACGGTAAACTATGGCACAAAGCTAGACTAGAGCCGAGTAGAGGGTAGAGTTTGGAAGCTCATAGCTCGATAGAGACTTGGGCGTAGACTACGGCTCAACTGAAAGTGTCACAATCCACTCGAGCGGTGTCAAAGCAAGTTACTTTCGATCTGTAAACGTTCATGGATAACTTTCTTGCTCCTCTTCAGTCACCATGAATAACCTTTGCCTTGCCTTTGTCTGTGAAGTTCGCAGTTACCGCAGGTCGGAGCTGCACAGAGCCTATAATGTCCAGGGACAAATTTGTAGAATTCCGTCGGCAACCTGAAAACGAGAACGATTGTAATGCTCTTTCGGCTATGCAATCTGGAAGAGATTTTGCCTTCTTGCAACGTGAGATAGCATTTTCGGCGTGCAGGCGGTGCCATTCTACAGCACTGCATTTGAACTCCACGTCGAACTTGTGGCGTCTTGGCATGGCGAAAAAAACAATCGCTTCCAAGAACGACTGCGAAAGGATTGAATGCAGTTGGTCCCTTCTTGGCGAGGTTAGTGCATTTTTGTCTGCGGGAATTTGATTTTGAGCTACATATGTATACTATAGCGAACGTTCTTTTGCTTTAGTCTTTGCCGTAGGCAGTTCGTAGGCTTTTCATGTCTACTCGTACGAAATCGAACATTCTGTATACCATTCTTGTCCTCAGGACGACGTACCTGTGCCCTGCATTGCGAAAATAGTACAATCGAGCTGGGGTGGGCGTTTGCAGCGAAGTGGGCGTTTGCAGCGAAGTGGGCGTTTGCAGCGAAGTGGGCGTTTGCAGCGAAGTGGGCGTTTGCTCCGGACTTTACGGTACATGTTTTGTTTGTTTGTTTTCAAGGGCGCGTTTGGTTGGTACGAACTAGAACAGGATTCACCAGAACAGCGCGTTTGGTTGGGACTGCACCTGTTCTGGGTCGGCCAGAACAAGTTCTGCTTGCTCCGGCATCCAGGCCAGAGCAGACCGAGCAGTTTCACTTTTTCACAGTGAAACCTGGCGGGAACATCGATTTTGGTCCCAAATGATCACGTGCATACGCTTTTTTGGTTGGACTCGTTGTACCGTACACAGTGACCATGGTGACCCATACACATTTTGAAGAATGCACCAAGTTTGGCACATTTTTCCACAAAAATGTGCTCTGTTTCTGGAGTACCGTTTGGTTGGCATGAGGCCGCTCCATGTGCACCAGCTGTTCGATCCTGTTCTAGATCGTACCAACCAAACGCACCCTAAGTAAAAAAATTTTTATGTGTATAATAAAATGTAATGTAGAGCCGAAGGATTTAGTGCAATTACATACCAGTATAAAACCTAGGTCCCCCGAGGTTTTTATAACTGGTATGTAATTGCACTAAATCCTAAGGCTACTACATTTATTATACAAAATAAATAAAATTATATTATTTCAAATGGTGAACGGTACTATTCGGCCAAAAAAATGTAAAGAACTCTTCCTCTCCTCCATGCGCTCTCACAGCCGACTCACTGCTACCCTCGGTAGCCATTACACACACCAACCAAGGAAGGGTTGCAGGTAGATACTGAAATTCCTCCTGACAGCTGTTTCGCCTTCATAAGGCTCATCAGAGAAGGTGATATTGAATAGGATGATATCAGGTGGAGATGGTCAGATTTATACTACAAAACATGGGCGCAAGATTACGGGCAAAGTGTGAGAATGAGAAGTTACAATTCTGCAGCAACACAGTGCCAGGGGTTCCAAGAAAATGGCAGGTGAGTAATCCAATCACAAGCTGCTAACCTCTCCAGCAACACAGTGCCAGGGGTTCCAAGAAAATGGCAGGTGAGAAATCCGATCAAAAACTGCTAACATTAATTTTCTAACGGCTAGGTGATAGTTTTTAAAAGAGAGCATGTCTGAGAATACCAAAGTATGTGTGCAAGTGGATCTCTCCGATTTCGCTCAAAATTTGCAGGTAGGTTCCCTTTGGGGTGTGGATCGATTATGCAAAGCCCTTGAAAAAGTTTCTGAAGGGAACCTTGAAATTTGCATACCCCTCAAAAATGGCCGAAATATCACATTATTTATGGGTCTAGAAACGAGTCACGCCACAGCGTATACGAACAAGCTATGAACAAAACTCCATCAAGCCAACATTGCCTCACCTTAGAAGAGTTCCTGGAGCAGTACCGCTTAGCCACGCCAGCATCCCAGAAGACGAGGTCCATCACCCCCTGACGCCACAAATGATCGTCTTGAAAATAGCCAATTTACAAGCGCTGGCCAAACAGCCAGCTACGTCCTCAATTGGCCAGAACTATACACCGGCAGATAGTAGAACACCTCTTCTAGCGCTGAGGACATGTCCCCCATCTTCCTTTTGGGGTTTTCTTGAAATAAACTTTTTTGAATTTTTCCACTCGACCATGCTGAAATACGGCCAAAGTCATACCTGCGCAGGAAAGCTCGCTACTCCGCGACGTCTCCTCAGCAATTTCTACTCCAACACTACTCCCAAGGCCGCAGAACAAAGTGTAGTGTTGACTCTGACAAGGAAAAGCAGCGGTGATCACTTGTCACTCCAAACGACAAGCTTCTCCTTGCGCCACCAATAATTTTTTGTGCGACTGTTGATGCAAAAGTGCCTGAAGGCCTGAGCGCAGTTTTTGAATTTTATTGCAAGATGCACGGTGACGGGACCTGAGCAATCAGGTCCCGTCTCCTCCCATCCCTCGTCTCACGTTCCTGTTGTGTATTACGTTGGCTCGGTACTTCCGTACTGAAATAGGTCATGGTGTAATTAGCAGTTGTTCTTCTGGGTCTCGTTGATATTGAGGTAGGTATTTTTGTCGTCTCTGCCGGTGATGCAGACCGGACCGAAGTTCTTTCTCATTATCTCGCGAGCATCTCAAAGCCCGTAAAGAATTGCGAGCGAATAAGGACATCATCATAACCAGACCTGACAAAGGTCGTGCTACAGTCATTATGAACAAAGCTGACTATGTTGACAAAATGATTGTCATCCTTGCTGATACATCTAAATTCCAAGCAATTGGCCCAGTTGGACAGTTTGACAGAACCATGAAAGTAGAGGCAGAGCTAATCAATTACCTAAAGAAACTAAAAGCCGACAAGAGTATCTCTACACATGAATTTGACTTGATGAAGCCGGTCGGATCACTACGTCCTCGCCTTTATGGTTTACCAAAAATACATAAGCCTACATGTCCTGTCCGGCCAATCGTCTCCATGACAGCTTCGCCGCAGTATTCAATCTCTAAGTGGTTGTGTAGGTTGTTGAAAGTTGTTGAGGAGCACTACTGCCAACACACTGTTAAAGATAGTTTCGATTTCGTAGAGAAGCTACGGGTCCGACCTGTTCCAACTCACTCACATATGTGTTCGTTCGATGTAGTGAGTTTGTTCACAAACGTACCGCTGGAGGAGACAATTGATATTTGCGTGGATGTGTTGTACCGTGTTGACGAAGTTGACACTCCGTGGCTACCTGAATGTGCTTTTCGACGTTTGATGTTGTTAGTCACAACTGGCGTCGAGTTTTCGTTCAATGACGTGATGTATAAGCAGATAGATGGAGTAGCCATGGGCTCTCCGTTGGGTCCCGTGTTAGCTAATGTCTTTGTCGGTTACTGTGAGTGCAAGATTGATGCGTCTCTATGGCCGAGTCTCTATTTCCGTTTCGTTGATGACTCTTTCACATACTTTGATTCCATAGAAGACAGCGAGGTCTTTCTTGGTGCTCTCAACAACCTTCACCCTTCCCTCCGCTTCACATGTGAGCACGAGCAGTCAAGCAAGTTATCCTTCCTCGACGTACTTGTTGAGAAAACCGAATTTGGTAGCGTAACATCGGTGTATCGTAAACCGACATTCACCGGACAATACATTTCCTATGACTCGTACTGTTCATCTAATTATAAAGTCAACTTAGTAAAGAATCTCGTGGATCGCGCCAAACGGATCTGTTCGCCTTGTAAACTCAGTGGTGAGCTCGAATTTCTCCGTTCAGTTTTCACCAAAAACGGATACCCAGGCGACATGTTGGCAGAACTGTTGTCTACAGCCCCCACGCCGAAACATGAATTGATAGGGCCTGCTC